ATGTTTCGAAAGGCGGAAGACTTTGGAAACATTGTTCTCTACATTTGTAGGTTTCTACAACAGGTAGTTGCTGTCCATTTGAAACTTAGATTCATAATCAAATGCATATGAATGTAAGCTGTTAGCATGCTTTTTGACCCTCAAATTCTTACTCCATTATAGACTTGCATTGGTCTAACTTTTTATGTATTTATTAACTGGAAAACTCTTCTGTAACCAATACACAGTGCTTTAAAATTACTCAGACCTTGATCAATTTTATATTTTATAGTGTGGTTGTTACCTAATGGATGCTAAACAAATAAGGTCTTGTTAAAAGTTGTTACCAGATCTTAATTCAAATTGAGTACCTTTCTATAAAACCAATAATATGCTAAATCTATTAAAGTATAATTTTTTTAAAATTCTTTATTGATTCAATCAGATTTTGTGATGGTTTAAGTTTTGCCCCAAAAGTACTAATGGAAGGTTCCAACAGCATAATAATCTCATCATAATGAACAGGTACATATGGGCCAAGCATGGCTTAGTTGTTAATGTGCCAGACTGTGAATTCCATGGTTCAGGTACATGCACTTACAGGTTGTGGGTGACTTATAATGGTGATAATCAAATTCCAATATTCAGTTAGAGTAATTCAAAAGTTGGCACTATTGATACTGTTGATTAACTGCCTTCCTTCTAGTATATCAGTTCAAAATTAGAGGCATTTAGAACAGGTATCCCTCATGAGATTTTACATGTATATCTCAAACAAGTAAGATTTGTACATAATGTTTAGTTTCTACAGTCATCTGACTTGTTGTTTTTAACCTCTAAATTTATTTTTGTTTACTATTGTTAATATCTTTCAGCCTGTAAATTTCTGTTATTGCTCATTCAGTTGACTGTTTCCTTCAATGACACTCAACATATACAGCTCATATAAAAAATACCTAAAAAAATATAGACACAGGAGATCTACTTCTGAACAACATCTTGTTTATTAAAGGAACATATGATCATGGTGAAACATAAAACATGACTTCTTCCTCAAAATTACCACTATAAATTTCAAATACTCTTCAAGGTAGGCATTAACAAATTACCAACATAGTATTCCCATCCAATGTTAATACTTCTAGAAGCTTCCATACAAAAAAAAATTGTTACTGATATTCACCCTTGTTACCCTAAAGTAGATTGTGTTTTGCCAGCTTTGATGTTACATGTCAATACAGGAACTTGACATAGCCGTAGAATGTTTGTTTCTCCAGTACTTATTATCTTGTTCATTGGACCACTGAATAGACATTTTCCAAAAAACATTTGGAACAGATATGGTTTGATCACACCAGTTTAATAGTTTTCTAGATTTCTGGGTTCACATCATGTTCTTCAATCCATAGTGGAATTAGAAACAAAAATCACAATCATTTTCCATAATGTATTATTTTATGAAAGTAAAGAAGAATGCTGTAATATGTCAACCACACTATATCTGTTATACCCAGTACTGACGAGGATATCTTGCTTGTCAGACATATTCATGAAAAGAATAAAATGTATATAAACTACACCTCATTCAAATGGGAAACAAATGTGATCTTGGGTTGCCTAGCAACTAGACAACAATAAAATATAGACAGTGATTAAAGTATGTAGGTTATAAGAAACGACTGATAAAACAGAAAACTTCACAAAAACTAACCAACAATTGTGATAAGACTTTTTCATTTTAGGATTAATAAAACATATAGTACTGGAAGGTCATGTGTTTCATTAACAAATATCATACCAAAGTACATATTCTGTGGTTTTAGGAGCACAGCAGTCTCTGTACACTAAAATAAAATTTCTTATACCATACATAATTAATGGTAAATCAAATGGGTCTTGTATGCCCAAAAACTTCTGTTGATTAATTCAAGTGTAGAAGATAATTTCTGATTTGGAAATTAAATCCCTTTCAATGTAGTTTCATCAGCACAACAGCAGAGTTCTTTGTCTAAGTAAAACAATAACATATTTAGTTCATAAATAAAGTAATGAATTTGTAATCGTAAGTTGCATCTGAAACTGGTAGAATGTAAGTAATCATTCATACTAGGTAAAAAATAAATACAATGATGTATGTATGAAATATATAAACTTAAAAGAGAATAAAATTATTTTATGGCACTATTTATTAGTGAATTTCAGAAACCAGTGAATAAATAAATAAATAAAATTTCAATCACCTAACATTTCCTCAATTTTCCAGAAATTCATCGATGAACTTCTACAGCGTGCTAAAACCTTGTGAATCTGCTGTGTCAGCAGTGAATCATTCAGGACAGACAAAAAGAAGAAACATATTGTTTGTGTAACCATTACCATTCTGTAAGACAAGATCGTGTTACCAGGACAACTCCTGTAATGTTTCATAGATCATTGACACCGCCCATTTCATCTCATTATTGTTTGAATCAAGCTAGTGGGTAGATACATTCTCTCATCCCAAGTTATAGTTTTATTTCTATACTCTGCATAATGCTGATACCAAAATGAACTGACCATCAGTTATAGTTTTTTTCTGTATATTCTTAATGCTGATGTCAGTACTTACTGGTTTTTGGTTATAGTTTTGTTTCTGTATTCTGCTTAATGCTGATGTCAGTACTTACTGGTTTTTGGTTATAGTTTTGTTTCTGTATTCTGATTAATGCTGATGTCAGTACTTACTGGTCTTTGGTTATAGTTTTGTTTCTGTATTCTGCTTAATGCTGATGTCAGTAGTTACTGGCATTTGGTTATAGTTTTTTTGGTACACTGCTTAATGCTGATGTCAGTACTTATTGACCTCTGGTTATAGTTTTGTTTGTATACAATGCTTTCCGATTTTAGTTTAATACCATATGTTATTGCAGTATGTTTTATTTGTGAAAGTGTTAGTAAGTACAGTTCGTTATTTAGGTTAAATGATAAAGAATTCTAGCTGAAAAGATGAAATATATTTTTAAAATTATTGATTTACAAACTCAGGTTTTCACTAATATTCAAACTGTCTGAGATTCAAAAAACACAAGTTTGGGAATATTATGTAAAACACAGGTAATGGTTGTTGTGGTAAGTGTTAATTAATATTTGTGTTTCTGTTTTAGTGGTTTATCAACTTCTACATGTGGAACTATAACAATGATAAATGATTAAAATAAATATTTAGAATAATTACTTTGACATCAGTGTACATTACATTTGGTGATTTAGTTCTGTATTTTGTTGCTATATATATATATATTTGTGAAGAGTGTGTTTGCTGAAACATTTAAAAGTTATTTTCACTCTGAGATTTAACCTTGGCAATATTAAGTCACAACAGATACAATTTTGTATACCACTTTGTTTTATCCTTCAAAATATTATAGTAATAAAAACCACATTTTAACAGTCACCTCAATACTAGTCATTTACCACTTGAAACAGAAACATTTTTTTTCTTTCATTGAAATGTTGTAAGTTTAGGCAAGTAACAACATTTGTTAACAAATACCTTGAAAACAGTTACATTGTGTGTGTCATAAAAGTTAAAATGTTTGTGTGCATGAACACATTAAATTAAGAATTCTTTAATAAATACAAAATCAGTTCATGGCCTTTTCATTATATATTTGTTGTAGTTCAGTAACCAAAACATAGCTATAAAGTTTGTTCCAATTGTAATGATTAGTAAGTGTAATTGTATAAGTGAGGCAGGATATATATTTGATACAAATAGTTCATCCATTGGCTGGTTTTTGTAGATGTTTTCAATAGTGTCATTGATGTTTAACTTGGTGAAGTACATGTATATGATTATCTTGGTGTATAACTAACAAGAGCTAAAGTTTTCAGTGACCTAGCCATGCCAGTATGATAACTTAGTGCCACAGCAGCTCAAAGTAAACGTACAATCATATTGACATTTTATATGTAGACATGTATGTGTGTATATATATATATATATCTTGTGTCAGTAGGCCAGGCTTTTCTGTATGTGTGTTACAGAACATTCAAATGCTTATTTGATAACATTGATTTATGCCAGATTGTATGGGTGCATAAAAAAATCAGCTAATTCTGCTTAATCATATACTGAGAGCTCAGCATAAAGTGTAACTTCATCCATAGCAACAATAAGGCAGTTAAAAGCCATTAGAAATTTTAATCCTACCATTGTCTACCAAGTCCAAAATTTGAATTGAACATAATACAAGCATCTTCATCTTTGTCTGCAGCAGAATGAGGTTACTTAAAAAATGATTGTATAGTGGGGACCTAAAAACCACAAAGGATAATAAAAGTATATAAAAAAAAATCAAACATTGTCATCCACAATATATTGGCATATATCCATTCTATACCTTTTAAGTGAGATTTTTATGTACTAAAATGTGATTTCCTTTTTTAATTACTATACTCTTTATCATGCTAGTTTTTGCATTACTTTATATAATTGAAAGAGAAAAAAAAAGAGGTGCATGCACTTTTGGTTACTGGTTTTGTACGTGCATCATGTGCATTAAACAACTAGATAGCACTCCATTGTGATACTGAGGCAAAACTAACACACCTAATTAAATCTTGACTCTTTAATGCACCCACCCTCCAAAATAAACTATTCACAAGTATCTTTTTTTGTTCATTATATGGGATATATGTTCAAAATATTCCAAACAATTACAAAAAATATACTTGGATATAGTTTACTTTGGAAGGAGGGTGCATAAAGAATTTTGACTTTGGTTAGAGTAATTTCCATGACCTTTGGATTTTTGACTCCACAGATATCCTATTATGAAACTATTTTCAGGATAATAATGGTAAGCCAATTCATATTTGCTAGGGTATTTAAAGGGAAACTCTAGAATTAACACAATGATAACTCAGATCTTCAATACAGAGCATCTAAAATAGTTTAACAAAATTCTCCATTTAAATATGATGATATTTTTTTAATATAATGGCAGATTATGGAGGCTGCCTTGTTCCCTTCATACAGAAAGATATGCACATGTGATTGGCTTAATGGCATGTGCTGCACTTTACTGTTTGCTTCAGAATTCAGTGACTAGAGGCAGTCCAGGTTCTCAGAAAAATGCATATATCTATAGAAATATTAAATAGAATGTATGCAGAGAAATTTGGAAATTCTGTGGAGCATTTTCTGTGTTTAATATTAGCAGTAATAATGGTTTGTTATAAAATGTAAATCACATACATGTAGCTTTATCAAACAATTTATGGGTGAAATACTTTCAATTTAATGTATCAAGCATTTTTTCAATAAATAAAAATACAGAAATCTAATTTATCCATACGGTACAAATAATTCTGTACAATTTTGTAATAAATAATAGGCATCAGAGTAGAATAATTTGGTTTACAGATTATCAAAATTACATTTTCTTGTATTTCTACTGTTTATCATTACAAAAATAAACTTGCCATTATAAATTATATAAGCGATTTACTGCCTGTACTGCTTAGCTCACCCTCTAGCAGCCACTTTTTTCACAAAAAATTACTGTAACTGACTTCATCTGCTTATTTTGTATAAATAAGTATTCTTTTTTTCTTTATATCTGCCTCCACAGTAAAAAAATTTGCATTTGCATCATTCATTTAATACCCTTATTCTGCTTTTTGTTTTAGTTTACTTTCAATGCATAGATCAAATAGAGAAAAAATTGTTTATCAATGTTTTCTTTATAATCTTACGCAGTCATGGAGGTGAATGTATGTAGAGTAGCAAAGGTCACCACGGGGTTTTTTTATTTTTTGTTGATCTACCTGACTTTTCAACAGATTTTGAACTGATTCACTTTTTTAAGATAAAGCTATTAGTTGTAGTTGGATCCAATTGTTCAATTGCTTGAATGAGCCTGTTAATGATGACAAAGAAAACAAAAAGCATCCACTTCAGGTGTTAAAGTTACTTGTGCCTGTTTCAAACGAAGCTCCCACCCTTTTTCAAATCTTTTTTTTAAAGTTATTTAGACTTTGGTGGTCTATGTGTAGAAATTTTATGTTTTATCAAACAATTGCTACTCAAACACTAAATATTGTAGCAAAAATACTTCAACTCCTTTCTCTGTTAATAGATGTTATTATGTTAGATAGCAAATATAATGGCTAAATTACTAGTCATTAAAGTTTTAAAGGCCAAATATGAAGGATCCAAATGATCATGCAACTAATTTCCAGAAAGAAAGCACTGAAATGTGTCAGATATTTAAAATAACAATATTTGAGAAGTGTGCATTTCCTGTTGTTTCTCAGTAGTGCTTTTGTTTAAAGAAATATATCCAGTAAGTTATTAACAGTTTCATTGGATCCTGTAGGTTCTATGGTTTTTGAGGAATTCCTTTCTCTGCAGATTTGGGCTGCCTCAACTTCTGACCTTGTCCTTGTACAGGTCCCACTAGTTCCCAGCCATAACCTGCTAAAGTACATGACCAAGTATAAGATGTGCGGTTAGACTAACAATAAGCATGATAAAAAGGATGTTACATTTTCATCCCAAACCTCCATTAGATCCCAAAACGAATTTAGAAACAATTACAATGACAAAGAAATGGATGCATAACCTAGGAACAAGACACACTATGAGTACATTTACTTTTGGTAGGAATGTGAGGAACATTTGACCACTAAATGTTTCAATGTGGGTTTATGAGCTAGTTTTATTGGTGCAAAACTTCAACAGTACCTTGCCAATACTTTTAAAGCATCACTTCCTCCACTAAGCCAAGAGAGAGTAGAATTACTGGAGACAAGGGTGTTTAGACTATTACAAAACTGCTTGAAATGTATGCATCCAATTGATCTACAGTAGGTGAGTAGGCTGTCAATGTTTGCATGACATGAGCTGGAGTACAACCTAACAGCATACAAAATACAGTTTATCTTTTTACTGTTTATGGACAGGGAATGTATTTGAGGTTAATCTAGTAAAAAATGAGATTTTTACCTTCATTAAAACAAAAAATTACATAGCATATAAAATATAGTATATCTTATTATTTTTGCATGGGTAGGGCAGGTATTTGAACTTTAGCTTACAAAAAATGAGACTGTCTTAACCAGTTTCTGTGAACAAAGCAATAAAATCTTGCCTTGTGTCCATTCATAGTTTCTGATCTTAGCAAATGTAAAATTCACAGTACTCCATTTGAAGAGGGAAAACCCTTGAAAATTATAACATGTCAACCTTTGTAACTTTTGATTATTTTGGTACAAAATGTAGGGCTTACTAGAAGTTCGTTTTGAAATTTTTTTGTTTTGTTTTGATGATACTGTAACATTCAGTTACGTAACAGCAACAGGCATACTGAAATTATAATATAGTTTGTTAGTAGTAAAATTAGACACTCATCTGTCTTGTAGTTCTTATACTATTTTTAAATCTCATACATTTTTTTTTCATTGCACAAAAGAGAAAACGCTCCTGCTAGCCTTGAACTAAATGTTCTAATTAACCATTTTAAATTCTTGGTAACACATGTATTAGTTCAGTCGAAATTAGTCTAATTTCTTTAGAATTGACATTTAGCATTGAAACATTTACATATTGTGCATTGAAAAAGACAAACACTTTACCTTGTTTTCTTTCACATTTTGCAAGTTTGTTACTTCTTAGTGGTAAAGAAAACAAAAAATTGTTGTCTGTCACCATTATATTTTGGTTTTAGTGAGATTTGTACATCAATATCAGTTATTAAAATAGTGAAATTTACAGTGTAGGATTTCTTTTTCTGGGAGCAGTCCTTGTTCTAATTTAAACCAACTTTTTTATTCTTTTAATGAATGACATTTTTCACAGGTATGCCTTTTTATCTGGTGCTGCAACATAAGTAAAGATTTATGTTGGGTGTCCTCACCTTTAAAATCTTTTTAAATGTTATGTTGGGTGTCCTCACCTTTAAAATCTTTTTAAATGTTATGTTGGGTATCCTCACCTTTAAAATCTTTTTAAATGTTATGTTGGGTGTCCTCACCTTTAAAAACAAGTTAGGATACCCAACATAACCTTTATAAACATTTTACAGGTGAGGATACTCAACATAACCTTTATAAACATTTTACAGGTGAGGATACTCAACATTACCTTTAGAAACGTTTTACAGGTGAGGATACCCAACATAACATTTAAAAAGAAAATTGTTTTGAAAGAAATGTACAAGTATGTGAAACTTTTAGTGAACCCTGTTTCATAAGTAGAGGCAACATGAAAGTAGTAATTTGTCAAATTTTGCTAGTATTACCATCCTTCATGTGTTTGGGTGAGTAGTGCCATTTCCATCCATTATCATCTAAAGCTCAATAGAAACAAGGCAGTCATTGTTTTTCATATTTCATACTTGATCAGGGAAATATTTTGCACTTGTATTGTTAGCTTAGAATTAAGATGTTTCGTACATTACATAAGGCTGCTATAATCTGATGAAACATCAAGTTTTTACTCACATCACATTTTGTCACAAAACAGCATGGTATAAGAATAAAGTAGTGCTATAAGGTGTCAGGTATTTCGACTGCTAACATACAAGATGCACATAGAGTAACTGAATGTGTCAAAATGACTACACACACAATATCTTGTTTTATGATAGTATTTCACTAGATATATTGATAGCCTAGTAATTTTTTTCTAATAAAATTAACTTGTGGTTAGAAAAAAATATTTCTGAATAATAATATTCACTTCAATTTTAAAATATAACAATATTTATCTTTGACCTTAACAGTTTGATAACTCACTAATAGTTTGGGTCATCCAAGTGGTTAGTTTCTAATTGTGACAATATTTTCTACTGTTTTCTTATTCAGGGTAAACAGTAATTTCATATTAAAAATATAAATGATTATTTGAAATAGAAGCTCAGTTCTGCACAAAATAAGTAACCCTTTCTATGTCACTGATCAAACTTTTTAATTTCAATCATGGACATCTTATTAAGGTTTTACTTTATAATTAGTATGAACTTTCATGGTAAAATGAAGAATTATATTTTCTCTTATAATTACTATTAGCAACTCAATTTGTTATAAGACAAGTGTACTTATACTAGTGAAATGGAAAAGAGTAATTTTACTGCTTCTATTATGAATCATAATAGGTAGCAGTTGGAAAGGTGAACAAGCAAAATAACAGACCGAGAGCCATAAAAAAATTAAAAGATAAAGGTTTCTTTTATACTTGGATTAACATAGTTATGACATCTATGAATTTCTTATTTATGGTTATTAAAATGTTATTTTTATGCTGCTTGAAAATATTTATTAGTTTACAATACACTGACTACTTTAATAAAGCAGTGTTCTTTATCAACTAATAAAACTTCAAATCTTTTGGTTTAAGCTATGATATTTTCAATAAGTGGTCTCATGTTGAAGTAGTTTTAAAATGCTGATATATATATGTGAGTTTGATGTTACCTTCTTTTCTTAATATCAAAAGGTTTTTCTGAAACCACTATTTCCTGAAAGTAGTTGTAGTTTTTGAGAAAATTCTGTACAGTAGTCCATTTTACTATATGGTGGCAGAAACAGCAACCAGTTCTTTGTTAGAAGTAGTAACTTCAATTTTGGTCTATAGTTTGTAGAGAAAAGACATAGAAACTATTTTGTACACTGTACATGTAGATTAACTTCTGTGGTACTTTTTAGTTGTCTTTTGTGAGTACAAATAAAAATAATAATACCAGGATTTCTTGAGCCTCTTGTTACACACTCTTTCAACAAAAAATACAAACGATCAACATGTGATGGCCACATGGGAAATTTCTCTCAATGCAACAAACAGTAGAAGAAAACATTTGACTAACATACATATCTTCTAGCAAAACAGCAATGTCTGGGATACATGTATGTGTTAAGCCTTCATACTAAAAAGTAAGTTTTATGTTAAAATACTAAGCCCAATCCATTTTCTGAAATGTTAATATCCAAACTTTTTCCATAATTCCTCTGGTATTTGCTGACCGAGAAGAACCTGGTTTATGCCAGACAGAAGATAATGATGTTACATCCTTTAAGCTACATTCCAGTATATTGACCATTTTTCACAAATACTGAAGACTTTACTAAAAATGAAATAAAAATGCTCTGGCCTAATAGTTATGTGCTTACATTTTTTGAATATCAAAACCATTGCCTTTTGTTTTCTATCATTTTTAATTATATCAACTACTATAACATTTTTATGATAACTGCAAATAAAGAAAATCCGAGTTAGTTTTATTAACCCTTCCATGACTGGTTGGGCCAACTTTGTTTTTTTCTCATATACTTGTGGAACTTGTGTCACTGACCCAGCAGATAGTCTTTGAAACAGCCAGGAGAAGTAAATATACATTGGAATATTTTCTACAAGAGTAGTTCAAGCAGACAACTAGTATTTCTGTGTTCCCTAGATAAGCTATTTATTTATTGTTACTTTCATATACAGTGTTGGTTAGTTAGTATATCAGATATCATTACTTTTTATTTTGGTTTATTGTTATAATTTTATCATAAAGATTGTTTTGCATTGTTAGCCTAATGTATACATTTAGAAACCATCTAAATCTACCGAGTTGGCCAAACTTTGTGAGGTATTATTGAGATTATGGCCAAGAATATCATTAACAGGGAGGGTACCCAACTGATGACATTCTAACCTTTATTAGTATAAATGTAAGAAACATATATTTAATTAGTTATGCTATTTGCCAGGTTGATTCTTAGTTTTGCTCTAAGTACATAGCTTGCTCTGATCAGAAGTTAATATTAATTACGAAAGAATTAATGTCATGGGGGGGGGGAATCTAGTAATATCAAGAGAAAAAAGTTACACTGTATCAAGTTATTTCACTTTTTTTTGTAAGAAAAATGCAAAACATACACAGACATCTGAAACTAACTAAAATTTGCAATTGCTAAACAATACAATTTATAATCCTAGAAGAAGAAAAATGGGGTAACCACTTAATTTTGCCCATCTTGAATACTCATTAATGTAAATATTATGTTAACCACCAATCCAACATGAATAGCCCTCATCATCAATAATAATTAACAACAATCTATATAAAACTGAATATCTATATAAATATACTAGTACTGTCTGTTGTATGTCCAAGTAACTACTTCGCAGGGTGTGGATGAATCTTAACCAAAATTGGTATGAAGGTTCATTAGGTCCATGCGGGGGTACATACAAATTTTCAGTTTTTGAGGTTTTTATGGTTGTATTTGCATTTTTTACCACTACCTCGACCCCTGTAAATGGATCTTCACCAAATTTGATATGGAAGTCCATGGAGAGATACAAACAAATTTTCAGTTTTGCGGCTTTTATGGGCAATTTTTACCACTACTTCGCCCTGTCGATGGATCTTCACCAAATTTGGTATAGAGATTCATTGGGTCCATAGGGAGATGCATAAAAATTTCCAGTTTTGCGGCTTTTATGGGAATTTTTGCGTGTTTTACCACTACTTCACCCCTCTGTTGATAGGTATTTACCAAATTTGGCATGAAGGTTTGTTGGGCACATGCGGAGGTACATGCAAATTTGCGGTTTCACATTTTGCAGTTTTTATGGTCATTTTTGCGTTTTTTACAGTTACATATAAAGCAAGCAACTTTTCATATCATAAGATAATCTTTCATTAATCATGAATTTACAGAACTTACGTCCAGGGGACGAGTACTTCAGCTAGTTTTACAATATCTTACAAGGGTGTAAAATATCAAACTTTAATAAGCCACATCAAATACTTCACCGCTGCCTTATTTCATGATATATTTATATCGACACTTGTGTATAATAAATATACAAGAAGATGAGGTGTGACACTTCGAAACATGTAGATTCATTATTTTGAAATAATTTTAATTGTGTATTGATTTGAACGTTGTATATTTATTATTTTATCATTATTTCAGTTCATAATTTATGTTGCATGGCAATATTCTTATAGTAAGAGTAACAGCACTTATGAAACGATCTTCCCTGACCATTATATTTTCACCTAATCTAATGGAGTATAGATGGTGTGTGGGATGTTCTGAGTATGTCAATCTTCAGGTTTAATGGTCCTTGACAAAATCATTTAATTAAAGTTGTCTATTGCCAAACAAACACGTAAAACAGAGTTGTCTGTCTATCTAGTGCCTTAAGTTGAGAAACTAGCCAAACTAATTTCGATTAAA